AAAAAAAAAAAAAAAAAAAGCAGGACCCACCCCTTGCAGGCATAGAAACCTGAGTCAGGTATAACCCATTGCAAACTGGGTCCCTGAGTTGAAGGGTGGTTGGGTAGGAGCTGGCTGGGGCCCAGGCCTGCTAGACCATGCTAGCCCCCAGGGAACAGGGAGTGAGGCAGGAGGTGAGCTGGTTCAGGGACCTCACTGCATTTCCTGCCTTAGGTCCAAATGAGAATTAAATTGCTGGCGCATACGGAGACAGATAGAGGCAGCAGCTGTCCCAGCTCAGCAGGCAGGCGGGGGTCATCCATCCTGTGCTTTGTGGAGCTGCCTAGGATTACATTTACCTTGAGCAAATGCAAAATTCTTCGTCTTTTTATTCAAGGAGCTTGATTTGGTTTAAAAGCACTAAATAAATAACCAGCTAGTGAAAGGGTTTTTATTTTCTTTTGTTCCTGAGAGGGTGTGTTTGCTGTGAAGCTGAGGCCCAGTTTCTTGGAAGGTACCAAATTGACTAGGATTACTTCCATGAGAAGCAATTAAAATCGATTTCTCTCCTGAAGCTCCTGTTTCACTTATAAGAGCAAATTAGCTGCCCGTCTAAAACAGGGATCATTCATTGGGAGCTTAGCTCTGGCTACATCCTCAACTGATACTGAATGTCATGGGGGAGGCCGATGAGAGGGTGCTTTGTCCTTCGGAGAGGACCAGGAGATGACACTGCCCTGCTGCCAGGAAGAAATGTGTTGGGAGCTGCTTGCCTGTACCAGGGAGGGGTGAAATGGAACCATCCAGATAACCTGCACCTCTTCCTTGGTGCAAATGGCCTGTGTTGGCAGGTTGACATTCCCATAGGTCTCAGATGTGACCCAAAGTTGGGGACAGAGCTGTTGAGACCCCATCACAGCATGCCAAATGACTGCCCCACAGCAGAGATGGGGAACCTGGGCTCTTGAGTCCAGATTCGCCCCTAGCTGGAGGTTCCCAGGTCAGCTGAGCACAATCAGCTGGAGTAAGACCTGTCCTGTGTCAACTATAAGTCAAAACAGCTGGAAGGCAGGAGTAAGGACCCAACCAGCAATCCTGGACTTGTGGTTGTCATGACCTCCGTTTTCCTCTGGCAGTGTGGGCTGCCTCTTAAAGAGGCATCTGGAAACGGGGGTTGAGAAGGTGGTCAGGGAGCAGGTGGTAGAGGCCTAGACTGAAACTGGAGGTGAGGATGTGGGACAGATGAAGAGAGGAGATGGTAAGGAGAATATGAGCTGAGGCTCCAGAATAGCACAGCCGCAGCCCACAGCTGGGTGTCTGGGAGAAGCTTCCTAGTCCTGTTCCTGCCTCCATTCTTGGAGTGGCGTGACAGTGGTCCACGTACAGGGATATAGGGGCTGGAGATACTTAGTAAGCTTCTCCCACAGTTATGAATCAACCTTGGACCATCAGAGCCCTTCTCTGATGTGAGCTCCTTCCTCTCTTTTTTGCTGCTGGCTTCACCCCAGTCCCTGTTCAGAACAAAGTAGGAGGAGGACCCGACACCCTAAACACTAGGACAGTAATCCCATGAGCTAGCCCACTTTTGCCATGGCCCTTATTCCCTCTTCAGCAGCCTGACAGCCTGCCCGCATCAGTGTTGTGTGGGACCTGGGAGCTGGGTATGTGGAGCTGGCCTGTGAACAAGCAGAGCAGACAGATCCCTCCTACCTTGATGCTGGGGCAGATGGTCTCTGACCCACAGCTGCCCCTCCATAAAGGAACCGCAGCCCATAGCACCAAGGGCTATCCACCTGGGGGTGGTGGTGAGGGGAGGGAGGGCCAGCATTTCTGTCTAGTCCCCTTAGCCTCTCCCCCGGCTCATGAAACTTACACTTTGGCTTGCGAAGGGGTACTGGGTGCACCTCAGCAGTGATGGTTTTAGGCAAGAGTAGCTGTTCCTTTGAGCCCCAGTCTTCTTCCCATTGCTTCTTAAACTTCTCTTCCTCCTCCACAATCCTGAAATGAGACCCCCATGCCTGTTACTGGAGTCAGAACCTTCATAGGCCCATCTCTTGCATTTTGGAGAGCCCCAACGAGCCCAGGGGAAGCCCTTGGTTCTAGCTGTGGTGAATCAAGCAAAGTCCCGGAGCTTGTATTCTAAATTGAGTGTGAACCCCACCTTGGCAATTATATGAGACTATGTTCCAGTTACTATAATATGACAGGCTTTACTACAAATAAAGGAGGACCCACCAGGGGATAGAGAACCAGGTAAACTGGTTCTCGAGGCAGCCTCTGGCTGACCACACTCCCCTGAGCATACTAATGTTCATGCACAGACACGCATGGGGCCGAGGTACTCACTGTTCCATCTCCTTCCGGTATCTCTCATTTTCCTCTGCTGCCTTCTGGGCAATTTCTTTTCTCCTTCTGAAACACAAATGCAGACTGGCATGTTTGGCCCTATGCAAGAGAAATGAACTCTTCCTTACTGTGAATTCTTGCTTTGAGAAAACTTCGAAATGATTTTTCTCCAGGCTTCCTTCCTAGGAGGCCTAGACAAGCTTTGGTTTTAGGGGACGTTATCTAACAAAGTCTAGGCCCTGTGCTCTTGTATGGTTTTGCCTGGCATGGCTGAGCAGAGATGCTGGGCTGTGGGAGCAGGGAAGCAGATCCACGTGAAGGCCACAGTTCATGCTCTCTCCTCCAAATACTTAGGTAAGGTGACCGATGACAGGCGGGGCCTGGACTGACCCCAGGAGCAAAGCAGGGGCTCCTAGCCAGGCGGAATACTCCCAGCTAACTCTGTGATGGGGGAGATGGGGACAGCCTTTCCTCTTTCCTTTTCAAAATACATTGATTGATTGAGACAAAGTCTCACTTTGCACCT